AAATCGGTCCATCCATCTATCCAGATTTTTGTTTGGAGAAGTGGAACTAAACTTATTTTATAGTAGACTTGTGCACAGTAGAAAACATTCATTTTCTATTTTATTTTACGGTTTGACTCATCCGAATATCATCCATGAAAAACATTCAGGAAAATGATTCATTAGATGAATAAAAATGATGAAAGGGGTAAATGGGCCAATTAGTGTATTGCAAAATAAACACATAATATAAATATAATGTATAGATATTGTAGTACATTGATAGGTGCATTTTCCCACCATTTGCTTCACAGGTCAAGTGAAAACAAATGTAATAAATAGAATGAAAAAGAGGAGGGGCATTAAATAAAAATCTATATTTATATAATATATAGTTATTAAATGTATATATTTTTTTCTACTGCTCCTCTTTATTTTCCTTTATTTGTCACTTCTTAATTGAGCTGTAAATAAATCAGCATTAAGTGGCTGACCCCTAGCCAATCATCTTTATTCCCATCAATCATCAGTTTTTTGGTGCCACCAAAGGAACTCAGAATCGAAGCAACTGAACATGCTCGTCCATCACACAAGTTGTTTGTTCAATTGTAAGCCCATTTGGATCAAATACTTATTTCACTCAGTGACATGCAAATCAATTTATAACTTTTTTGACATGCGTTTTCCTGGATTTCTTTTTTGTTATTCTGTCTCTCACTGTTAAAATACACCTACCATTAAAATTATAGACTGATCATTTCTTTGTCAGTGAGCAAGCGTTCAAAATCAGCAGGGGATCAAATACTTTCCCTCCTCACTCTACTGTATGTACAATTATCTAAAACTGTGATATCTATATATTTTATTGAGGAAGTTCTCTTCCACACATATTAAATAATACTAATCATCTTAATCATACAGAAACATTTGAAGGTGCACTCATATTGCAACCTGCCTATGAAACTGTAATATCTCATGTGCAAAAGACCAAATTTAATTTTAAAAATGATAATTTTAGATTAAAAGGATACTCTGAGCACCAACACAAATTTTATTTAATGAAGCTGTTTCAGTATACAGATCATTTCTCTGCAGCCCAACTGCTTAAATCTCAGCTATTTAGGAGTTACATCACTTTTGTTTCTGTGTCGGAACCCTAGTCACACCTCCCCTGGCTGTTACTCACACAGCCTGCATAAAAAAAATAAATGTTTAATTTTTAATCAGGACAGTGTGTTTATTTTAGATGTGTTTTTCTCCTGATCTGTTAATTGAACTTTAATCGCACACAGGAGGCTCCTGCAAACTCTAGCAGGTTAATAACACAGCAGGAGAACAGACATTCTAAATTAAAGTTTAAACATTAGATATCTCTTTACAGGAAATGTGTAGGGAGGCTCTGTAAGTCACATGCAAGGAGGTGTAACTAAATAAATGCATAAAAAAGGTTCTTTAACTTCTAAATGGCAGGGAATTGAGCAGTTGGACTGTAGTGGCATAATTTATATACTAAATGTATTGATAGTTATTTGGGTGCTTAGTTTCCCTTTAACCATGTAGTATAACCATGTTAATATCTTTGTTGTAGTTTTTAAATGCCTCCACTGATTTACCATGTTATCAAACAGTTAGGTGTAAGCTGTTTCTGCTTGAGATGCAGACCCTCAATATTTCAGGGCTCACGATTTAAAGTCCTATACTACTTTACAGTCTTAAAAGTTACTTGAACTGCAAACCTGGGGGATCCATGGTACACTTGCCAGGGCTGATTGTCTACAAGCCAGGCCTGTAATTTTACCAATTGCTAGAAGGGGTCACTGAATATTAGGGCGAGAAAAAGTATGCTCTTCATTACTGGCAAAAAATGCATGGTTCAACATAAAATTGCTTAACGCAAATAACTAAAATGTTCCTGAATGTTATCTCTATTTTTTTGTTTCATCAGTGTGCAAGTGTGCTATTGATCTTGCCCTTTTAAAGGTATGTCACCATGCAATACATCTTTGTACATTTGCTTTTTGACACTTTGACTAATAGGTCATAGACAATTGAGTAAATTAGTCGAGATGACAAATAAATTGGTATTTAGAAGTTGAAGGCACAAACAATTTATTTATTTCTGTGGATTTTTAATAGTGCCTTTATCAAACTAAGTGACTTGAGAGTCGATATTCAAGCCATCACTGGATTTAATTAAAAAGCTAAAATATTGACAGTATTCTCTGAAACCACTGTGATTTTCTACTGGCTTTATTTAGTTTGAACAATAACAACTGGTTATTGTTGTGAACTATGGGCACTTAGATAACTCTTTTTGAGACACACAATTCTTTAATTTGTTTGTTTTAAAGTGAAATTGCAGTTTTCCTCTAAATTTTACTTAATTGGCAGAAGCAAATGACATATGCCATTTTACACTGCCTACTGTCTGGTAATTGGACAGAGCTGATCACTTTAGAGAGTGCTGTAGCCAATCAGTGGTACCTCTCACTACAAATGTTGTGATAGGCCAGGGGTAGGTAAGCATGTGGACTACATATCCCATAATGCACTTACAATTTGAATATAATGTAGCAGGAATGTGGAACTGCACTCAAACCCATTTGAAATGTATCCGGGTGCACCAGACCAGTCCCAGTACCAGGAACCAAGTATTTGATGAGGAAAAATAGAAGAGAAGTCCAGGCACTTTCAGGATACAAAAAGGCAAACTTATTGAACCCACTGCAGTGGGTTCAATAAATTTGCCTTTTTGTATCCTGAAAGTGCCTGGACTTCTCTTCAATTTTTCCTCATAATGCACTTACAGTCATAATACTGGCAATGCATCATGGGATATGTAGTTCAAACCATCTGGAGTGCCAAGGGTTGCATATACTGTGATAGGCTATTGTATACCTTCAGGTGTATGTGATAGAATTATAGTCTCTACTAACACATATCATACAAGTCTTTCAATGCGTTCAGCAGTAAGTGACTACACTAGGTGCAGTTAAAAGAAAAAAAAAGTTTTGTAGCATAGACTAATTGTGAATTTATCACGGATGTATATTATACTAATAATTTTACATGGAGTCTAAATAAGCGTCCGATAGTTTTAGAAGAATATAAATGTTAGACTTTAAAAATAAAAATGTAATTTAAGAAATTTGTAATCTAAACAACATTCAAAAGCTAGAATTGTATGGAAATTGATGGCTACAATACTTTAAAACAATTTTATTAAGATTTACACTGTGCTTTAAACTAGATAGGGTAATAAAAAAAATCATGGTAGTATTGGGAGAAATTATGGTGTTTGAGATATCCTTGTGTTAAATGGAAATGGTACAGTTTGTAATTTAACAGGACATATTCCTTAAATTGTTACAGTTCATGCAGTGTTAGTTTATTTAAGAATTGGCTGTATTCTCGTATTCTCATAGACATTAAAATGGGCTAATTTGCTTTGGGCACATGATAAGAAAGTTATTTAGGAATCCATGTCTTTTATAGTGATTACGCTCTATTTCTTTAAGTGTAGTGGTTTGGTCTTTCCCGGTCAGAAAAGAAACAAGAAACTTGAGAAGACTTTATATGACTCTATAAGATAAGTGCCATTGATTTTTTAATACACTCAAAAACATTCTGGAAGACAAGTTCATTCTGCTGAAAAAAAAGAGGAAACTATAAGAGTAAAAGAATAAAAGATAGTGTATTGATGGATGATATTCGCTCCTGGGAAGCCAACAAATTGTTAATATGCTTTGCCAAATTTCCAAAAACACTTGATTGTAAGTGATAAGCAGTCTGCTAGTTTAAAGGTTGGTGACATACCAGTAGGGGTTATATGGAGTGCTACAACAGCCTGTGGCGGGTTGTCTATTACAGGGCATGTGAACATACGTTGTAAAGGCATAGTGGTGCCATGAGTAGGAAATATGCATATCCCTATTTGTATCCCAAGTGTCAAGGTGGCTGCGCGGGCTGTGTTGGGATTAATGCGAGTAAAGGTAGAATGTGAATAGGAGAAAGGTTGTGGACTTGTATATGTAGCTAAGATATGTTGGTAATGAGATGATAGAGCACTTAATAGTTACGAATAATCATCCAGTTTATGAGATATACATATGTACTGAGCCCAATAAAACGAGGTGTTGGAAGACAGAATCACAACGGGAACCAAAGCCTCTAGAATGCCATAGTGGTTGAAAGGGCTAGAGAATGTGATGGGAGTACATAATACCTAGGAAAAGACAGGAGATATAAGACATACATTAAAAAGACCTACACCTGGAATGCTTAGGAGGATGATAAATACTTATGCATGCACAGCTGGCATAGAAGATTAGGGTTGAAAGCAACAGGAAATGCTAGAAAAAATGCTAGAATATCTCTGAATATTAGCATCAAATATACAACTTCATAGCTTAACTGTACATGACTGAATGATGTTCTCAAAGCATGACGACTGTACCAAGAAAGTCTAGGTGGTATTAGAAAGTGAGGGAATGCAAAAGCAACAGACCAGAGAACCGCACTTCTAGCCAGCTGTTTAAAACTATATCCCAATGGAAATTACACAATTAGATTCATGCAAGCTGTCCCTTGGGGCATATCTACTAAACAGTGAATTACCAAACAATGTTGGCCCATGGAGCACCTGAATACCCAGAGGGCAGACAACATTAAAGTGAGTGTAGGGTGATTACACTAAGTGTAGAAATGCCTAGGATACTGTTTTATATTTAAGGACATTTAGTAAGAAGATTTGAGACCTTATTTTAGAAGATATTCCCCCTTTACAGAAACTAAGGGATTTACATTTAATGCAATCTACTCAGAGGCTGTTAGAGGACAGTGATGCTAAGTATGATTAAATAGGCTGAATTGTGGAATGAGAAGCGTTCGAGTGCATCCGAAAGCCTACCATTGGTGCGATTGATCTTATGAAATAGCTTATAATCCAGATAAGTAGCCAAAAGCCCAGCCTTAGAGCCTCATTCATATGGACAAAACATAATACGTTTAGATGAACTGCAATGTTCGACAACACGGGAGTGTTCGAACAGAGGTAAGTAAAACATAATGGCTTTATGACTTACGTTTCCATTTCCCAGGCAGACTATGGGCCGCCAGAGGAAGGAACGGGCATCCGAGGGAGCCAGCAACCGTCGAGAAACAGGATGCCGGAGTGGATGGAACTTGCCACCACGATTTCCCTATACTGGAGAGTCATTACCAGCAGTCTTTTTGGCAGGAATAGCGGTCTGTTATGCAGCAGCTCGGCAGACCAACCACAGTAGGGTAGGGAAGGGGGGAGTCCCTTTTAAAGGTCCATACGCCCCTCCCAAAATTTCAGACCAAACCTTCCAATGTATATTAGGGCAGCGTAGGAAAGGACCCAGACACATATCTATGCTGAATGGCTGCTAAACTAATCCAGTCCTAGAAAGTTTCAGCTGACAAATACACATTGTATAAAACATTGCAAAGCACATTTAACTTGTGTTAACCATTTTTTCATAATTCTCTCTTTTATTTCAAAAATCCAAATTGAGTTAATTTGAGGCACAACCAGTGCACACATTACACTGGAGAAGAAACTGAAATATTGTTTATGTTTCAGCATTCCCACATACTATGCTGAACTATAGAAGAAGGCGGTACGTAAAACAATGATTGAGAGCAAGGCAAAATGGAGGAAAGCAGTACCAGGATGGAACTAAGTAAAGTTGTGTGGATTTCTACATTTTATTTTATTATTCAGAGCTCAGAAACACATATTTGTTGCATGTAGGGTACAAGTAAACATAATATTGAAAATCCTGGGAGATTACATTTCCCCTTTAACTATACATACGTGAAAATTTGAATAAGTCTTAGTAAAATCCAACTGCAATGGGAGATGTATTCCACTGATGAACATTAACTGTATTTTGTGAAGGAGAGAAAGACATACCATCAATATAAAGAAACCATTACATCTAAGAGCCTTCTAAATAATGTAAAGAATAGCAAATATAATCAATTTAGCTATGCTTTGCATCAATTGATAAGACTTAAACAAGGATAAACTGCCAGAGGCTAGCATATTTTTCATGGAGATGTCTTCTTATAGTACAATGATATCATCCATATTTTAGGGGCTCTTTACCAGCTAGTAAGTGCTTCATCAATGCTTGTTATTCTAAAATAGTATTCATCACTAGTCCAGTGTCCATCTCAAGCTTCACATACTGTTCCCATTAGAACTGAAAAAATTGAAAGTGAACCCATATATCTGTCTTAATCTGAAGCATTAGATAGTTACCGAGGTGATGTAGGAACCGTTAGATATTTCTGATGATAAAAACTCTCATCATTTAGCTAGAATGATGTAGGGATGTCAGAATCACCATTTTTTGTTCTTGGGTACATAATATTTTTCATGCTGCTGGGCAATATACAAAAATGCTGCCTTGCGGTATGAAGAATTCATATGCTACATGAAGTAGAGCAGCAATTTTAATATTCTATTCATCCAAATGAATAAATGCTATGTTTTTAGGCTTACATAGATTTGGCATTCCTAAAAAAAAAAAAAAAAAAATGTGAATACTTTTGAAAGTGAATACTGTTTGCAATTCTCTGTCTGTCTATACATCTATCTCATTCTCAATTAAACATAATTGGGTACAATAATTGGGTACGCCACATGGGGTAAAATAAACAACAGGTCAACATGTCTACTATATGTGTTGATCTCTGTGTTATTGCATCATCACAATGCTTATGTTTTCTAATATCTGATTGTACACTATCAATATGTTGATTGTGACTTTATGTGATCAGTTATTTTCACTTTTCTACCATGATAAAAACATTTTTAACAAAAATGTATAACATACTATTGAAAATGAGGGTCCCTTACCACCTACAGCATGGTCACTACTGGAGATAGCAATGGGTGGCACTGATAGATAGGCTCCCTCATTAGCTCAAGCGGCACAGAAGGTACTGACTGCTGGACACTCATTTAGAATTAAACCACAGAAGAACGGTTTACCAACCAACGGAAGGTTGGTGCTAGTGAACTACAGACTCTATAACACTTCAATGGCATGAAGCAGTTACAGTGCCTACAGTGTACCTTTAATTACTAAGGATAGCATCCTACATCTACTGCAGTGATGATCTTTCCTACTAATACTTCTCCACCAGGGTGATCAAGGCAATAGAATACTTCTGGAGAAAGACCTATGAGAGGCCAGACAACATGTCTTCTCCCATCATCATGCTGAAATATAAGCAGAGATGTACATTATCTGCATGCTATTATGAAGTGCATGATGATAAATGGGCAATTTTGATCAACAGTATAAAAGATTGGGTTTCAAAGGCTGAATTTGATAGACTTAAGTCCTTTTTCAATCTTGGTTACTATGTAACTATGTAATCAAATGCTAAATTTCACAATTGTAAATGCAGTATGGTTATACCATCCACCTTAACACATCTTTTAAAAATATGTTTGACTATACAGGTCACAGCCGTGGAGGATAAATGATTTGCTGCCCCAGAACACATCTTTGTGATAGAAATTGAAAGAAAAAAAAAACATTATTCATTTTTTTTGTGGGAGATATAGAACTTTTTCACACAATCTAAACTAAGTAGTTATCTGTACATGATGATAGCCTGCTTAAACCACCTGAATCTGGATCCCTGTAAACGTGAACATATCATTGTTCTGTCTTTATTTTCAGTTTGTTCTACGTTTTTCAGTTACCATTTCTGACCTACCTGTGTAATATTGTTTTGTTTTATTTTCTGTATCACGTAATTAAGTGGCTTTGAAACAGATGACAAAACAAAGTAGCAACTTCTAAGTAATTTTTTTACATTATTTTCTGTTTTCCAGACATAATGACTGCTGTAAGTGGCCCACTAAGCAGTGTATTATAAAATAATGCCAAATAAGACCTCTAAAAAAATAATAAAAGGAGCTTAGGAAAGTCTGCAGCATTTTAAATAACTGCAAGAGAACTAGCATCTATTTTAAACTGTAAACTACAAGGGAACATGCCAGTATTTTTAAGGATAAGTCCTTATACAAAGCTGGAAACTAAAATGTTTTATTTATGTATTATTTTTTATATTTAACTTGCAGTTGTTTGCTGTATTAGATTTCCAGTGCTGTATCAATAGTCCCCGACCTACTTCAAGAATACTTTGATGTAAAAGCTTAAAGGGACACTATAGTCACTCAGGCCACTTCAGCTCAATGAAGTGGTCTGGGTGCCAGGTCCCTCAGGTTTTAACCCTTCAAATGTAAAACATAGCAGTTACAGAGAAACTACTATGTTTACATTTGGAGTTAATCCAGTCTCTAGTGGCTGTCTTTTGGACAGCCACTAGAGGCGCATCTGCAATGCTGGAGGATAATTTTGCCTCCATCGCTGAGAGCATCCATAGGAAAGCATTGAGAAATGCTTTCCTATGTACACTTTGAATGCGCGTGCGGCACTTGCCGCGCATGCGCATTCGTCACCAGTGAGGTTGGACAGGGGAGCTGACGTCGGACGGGGAGGCGAGGTCAGCAGCGCCGAGAGAGCCCGGAGCTGGATTAAGGTAAGATGCTGAAGGGGTTTTAACCCCTTCAGCGCCATGGGAGGGGGACCCTGAGGGTGGGGGTACCCACAGGGCACTATACTGTCAGGAAAACCGCTTTGTTTTCCTGATACTATAGTGATCCTTTAAATATAAATGCTTGTATCAGACATAGAAGTAAACTGTGATTAGATGTGAGAGATTGCTATTATTAGCCAAGTTAGTCACTAAAAATATAGATTAAACCAACTTCCAAAACGATGGCGAAAATTATAGTTACAGATTTTTCAGTGTTGTCCTAAAATATCTAACTTACTGTTCAGTTAATAGGCTTCCCACATTCACAATATTTATAAATTAAATCTTATTTAACGTCTAGATCTTATTTCAATTTCTTGTCTTGAGTACAGGGAATAGAAAAAGCAGAATGATTATGAGTTATGTACAATGAATCTACAAACATTGCAGTAGAGAGGATAGTTTGACTATTCTTATACTGTCTATTTACTGTATGTTGATTATTAATTAAAATATCTAACAAATAGGTTTCTCTAATCTGCCCTTAACTACATGTTAAACATTGATCTCCATCCAACCTTCTGTTATGGTGCTTTCATTCTTTATGAGACAAATATATATAGCCTCCAAGCAGAACAATACTGCATATGGTGCTAACACGTTCAGCCAAATTTTCTCTTCCTTGACTTAATAGGAATCTGACTCTCTATGTAAATTAATGTGTGGCTTTGCCAATATTTTAGGAAATTCAATTTCTGTTCCTTAAAATGATTTTATTCACACTTAATGACTCCATTCAGCATAACTGATGAGTCCTCCTGTCTGTCTCAAAAGTCAAATAGTAAATGATTGCTCGGATATCTATCTATCTATCTATCTATCTATCTATCTATCTATTTCTCTATCTATCTAATCATGGTTTGCATAAATAAGACAATCCCTGCTTCTAAATGCTTATGGAAGGGCTTTCATTGGATTTCAACCTCTAACACCATACCCTGGTTGATATTTCTCTAGCACAGAGATACTTCTCTGTTTTTTTAGGAATATCAGCTTTTTACTCATTAAATAAATTTCAGAGTGATTCACCCTATCATTGCTTGATCTAAAAGGGTTTTGCACAATGTATTATAAATTCCATGAAGTGTGTTCCACCAAAATGGTACATGCATAACTACAATTGTGCACACAGAAAAGGAGAAAGAAAATTGAAACAATGTTATTTTGGGTATCTTGGATTGAGTCACATTTTATTGAGATCAAATTAGAGCAAATACCAAATCATGAGGATTTGTGAGGAAAACCTAGAATCTCGATATATGTGTATTTCATTTCCTTAAAATGAGTACAATTTGGCAGATAATTGAGAAATACTATCTTTTATGTCAGATGGCAACAGGGTGTATCCTAAATGACGATAATTTGTGAATAAGCCTGTTGGAATGGGCATATATGTATTTCTGTTTATGTGTTTGTCAGTCTAATTAACTATATGGGTAAAAACTTTAAGAGATTATGAAAGGATAGTTTTACCCCCCCCCCACCCCCCCGCCATATAATTAAATTAACCTAAACAAAATATAACAAATACACCCAAATGAAAGAAAAATGTTTTGATTTGTTGGATTTTAATGCTGCTATAGCTCTGATTTAATAAGAGACATTTGTGGAAAATGCATAGCTGCAAATGTA